ACAGGTATGCAACCAGCAGGCACGCACACACACAGACTTGGAATCACAGCAGAATGCGGGAATCACAACAAGGCATCCATTCCAGTGACAAATCCCACAAATCGGCAGTGTTCTCAGTCTGTGTTTTTGGCGGGTCATTACAGCTGGCTTTTTTTTGGTCTTCATAAAAAAAATGCAAAACTTCCGCAAAAGACAAAACACTAAGTGTGGGAGCATTGCGGTGGCTCGTAAAACAAACTCACCAAGTCTGCGATCACAGCAGGATTCCTAGGATCATCTTCAGGTATTCCTTGCTCCACCTTGCCAACCAGGTCAGCCCCAACATCCGCAGCTTTGGTATAAATGCCACCACCAAGCTGAGCAAAAAGAGCCACAAATGATGCCCCAAAGCCATAGCCAACAAGCAACAATGGCACTGCAGGAAAGCATCACCACACAAAGACACCACCAGCAAGGGAAACACAGCTGTTCAGAGTTTGATTCATTTTCATACATGTGCGTTTCTAAACGGATGTTGACCTCCCGTTTGCTGAGGTTAGCAAGCAGATCACACATGAGCATCTGTCTTTTCGGGGTTAAGATCTAAATCATACACAACCGGTCCTTTCCTGTTGAGAGTTTCATTTTTATTTTTTTTTCATTGAAACAGAACCTTGAGGTTCTGGCTCCATATCCATTCTGTGGAGCGTCAGTCCAGCTGAGGTTAGCAGGCAGCTCACACATGAACATCCATCTTTTCGAGAGTTAGCATCTATATCATACACAACCGTTCAACCTCATATGCATAACCACCCACCCTGAAGTCGAGCTGGCAAAGACACCTAGAATCCTCAATTACAAAAAACAAGTGGACCCGCCGCAGCGACCGATCGGGAACGGGGGGGGTGAAGGAGGAAAAGGGGGGGGGGGGGGGGGGGGGGCAGTAGAGGGCATAGAGAAGGCGGTGGAGGAGGATGGGAGGAAGCAGGAGGTGGGAGAAAGAGTGTGAACCCAACTCGCGACCCTTCTGCCCTCTCAGTCCTCCCTGCCGCTCTCTACTTCCTCCCGCCCACAATGCCCCAAATCCCCACCCAAATCCTCCATCCATCTTTTCCAATCGATCAATGAATCAATCAATCAGTCAACCAATCAAACCACTCCCAAGCGCCCCGTCGACCTTCCACCCACCCGATTTTCCAAACAGAAAACAAAAAACGAATCAATCAATCAGTCAATTAATCGATCAAATCGATTGATTGATTGATTGATTGATCGACTGGGTGTGTGTGTCTGTGTGTGTGTGAGAGACAGACACACACACACAGAGAGAGAGAGAGAGAGAGAGAGAGAGAGAGAGAGAGAGAGAGAGAGAGCGTCCTCGTCCACCACTCCCCCGCTCCACCCCTTTCCTCCCTTCCCTCCCGCTTTTCCTACCCGCCTCCCGCGCGTTGCCAGGGCAGAAACCCTGACAATGGTATCTGCCCTGTGTTTTCAATGTCAGGCATTGTCCGGTCATCAGTATGAATCTTGTTTAAGAGGTCTGACTTGGAAACCTTATTCTGACTGGGCCATTGATTAGGAAGTCAAAATTCTTTCGCTAGACGCGGACGTCTGACTTACCGGCAGACATGACGGCAGGGTTTGATGGTGTGACCGATCACTCTCTACGTTGAATAAGGGTCGGAGAGACAGACGCCCGTGGAAATACTGAGTTCAAGTTTATTCTGCTTTAAAATTGTGACAGCCACGCAATTCGGGCATTGAGTAGCGAGAGAAAAAAAGGGGAGGAGGCGGGCGGCCGCATTGCGTGCGCGGCCGCGGCACAAGAGTGCAGGGAGTTTTACCATTTTTGGGGTCGAAAGAAAAAGGGAGAGTTTTTACCGGGACTTGAAACGGTATCGGTGGGCTAGAGGGCCTATGCCCTACCCTAATGGGATCGACAACGCGTTGGCGGCCGACTGCTAGAGCGGCGAAGGGACGATGCAACCGTGTCCGTCTCGGCGATTCGTCGGATTTATACGCGTCGACTCTAAGTTGTCTCAGTTTTGTTTTGTTTACTCATGCGTGACATGGCCGGGAGGGCTCTCGCCTTTTGCAAAAAAGGCGGGAGCCGTTCGTTAACTGCCCCTCCCCGTTTCCTGCCGTTCCTTCTCCTCCTCCCGCTCCTCCCGGTACTCCCCCACCTCCTCCCCCTCCTCCCTCCGCTCCTTCTCCCACACCTCCTCCTTCTGCTCCTCCGCTCCTCCTCCTCCTCCCGCTCCTCCTCCCGCTCCTCCTCCCGCTCTTTCTCCCGCTCCTCCCGCTGCTTCTCCAGCCTCCATTTCCTTTTTTGTCCCCAATCAATTGATTGGTTGATTGATTGATTGATTGATTGAAACACAACAAAACAGAAGAATGGACCGATCCTTTTTTTTTCTTTTGATCGATGAATCGATCAATTAATCAATCAACCAATCAACCAATCAATCAATCAACCCCCCCCCCCCCCCCCCCCCCCCCCCCCCCCCCCCCCCCCCCCCCACCCAACCCCCCCCCCCCCCCCCCCCCCCCCCCCCCCCCCCCCCCCCCCCCCCCTTTCCCTACCCACCTAACCCCCCCCCCGTTTCCCCTCCCGCTCCTCCTCCAACTCCTCCCACGCCTTCCCATTTCCCCGCCCGCTCCTAACCTCCCCGCTGTTTCCCCTCCAGCTCCTCCTCCCGCTCCTCCCGCGCCTCCTCCGCGCCTTCCTGTTTCCCCTCCCGCTCCTCCTCCGCCAAACAACGTGGCAAAGATCTCCGTACCACCTCCCCCTCGTTCGTTAACCCCCTCCCCGTTTCCCCTCCCTCTCCTCCTCTCGCTCCTTCACCCGCTCCTCCCACGCCTCCTCCGCCCGTTCTCGGTTCCCTTCCCGCTCCCCCCGCCCCTAACCTCCTCCCCGTTTCCCCTCTCGCTCCTCCTCCTGCTCCTCCCGCGACTCCTCCCGTCCCTCCCCATTTCCCCTCTCGCTTCTCCCTCTCCTCCTCCCACGCCTCCTCCACCCGTTCCCGTTTCCCCTCCCGCTCCTTCTCCAGCTCCTCCTCCCACTCCTCCCGCTCCTCCTCCCGCCCCTCCTCCACCAAACAACATGACAAAGATCTCCCTACCCGCCTCCTGCACGTTCATTAACCCCCTCCCCGTTTCCCCTCCCCCTCCTCCCGCACCTCCTCCACCCCTTCCTGTTTCCCCTCCCTCTCCTTCTCCAGCTCCTCCTCCCACTCCTCCTCCTCCTCCCGCTCCTTCTCACACTCCTCCCGCTCCTTCTCCCGCTTCTCCCACTCCAAAGATCCCGCCATAGCTATCTCCTAAGAGGAAAATAAAGAAAAAAGGCTGGCCACGTGGCTAGCCACAGAGAGAGAGAGAGTGACCTCCCGCTGCCCCATCACAACTTTGTCCTCCTCCCACTCCTCCTCCCTCTCCTTCTCCCGCTCCCCCTCCTGCTGCTCCTCTCACTCCTCCTGCAGCCCCCTGCGACGGACCGCGCTGCTCCACAACTGGGAGGGCCCGCCACACGTGACATATTTCCCTCCCGTTTTCCTGCGGTGTCCAATTTGTGCCTGCCAATCGGACCGGACCCCGCGTCGTTTCAGCCCACCTGCGGTTCCACTGTTGTCCCTCCGTCGCCACGCGCGACAGCGGACCCCTGCCACGGTTTCCCTGGGCCTGCAACGGCGTGTGTCGCCGGGCCCTTTGTAACTTTTAAGAGTATAGAGAAGAGAAGAGATAGAGAAGAGAAGAGATAGAGAAAGAGTATAGAGATAGTGTGTCACAAGAGGCGAATTTGGATGCCACTTTGAAAAGGAAGAGGGAACTGAAGGACAGAAACACAGCGTAGTCCTCCTTTAGTCAAACACAGCAAGATCCAAACACACCCTGTGCGCACCTTTCCAGCTCCAACCCTTGACCAACACAAAACCATATAACACGTAACTGGAAAAATGGCACACTCAGCCCTTTCTCACTCATGGACCAACATGCCTGTAGCGAAGTTTCATGCATTCACAAACATCTTGGTGTCAGCGCACACTCAGATCTATCAACAACGTGCAACTCTCAGATTATCCATACAAGTCATGACAACACATGGGAAGACTGCCATCAACCTGAGGTTAGACTTTTAACTGCCTGTCGGGAAGAGTTTGTAATTATTAACACCATGTTGGCCTCAATTCCAGGCCTCTCTATCAAGAAATGACTGGTCAATTCACAATCAGGCTTGCCAAGCTAATAGTCTACCTAGTGTGGCTGCAGGACCTGTCTTCACCAGCGCCTCCAAACGCTCAAGATAAATCGGCAGGCCTTTCCAGGCTTGTCAAGCTAACCCAACAAGCCTATGGAAGACTGCCAAGCTGGCCAGCTGGCTTGAGGTTTGTAACTAGCAAACAAGCATAACAAACAAGAGGTAGTGGTGAAGTTGGCCAGCCCTCACAAACTTGTGCATCAATGCATGGATAAATCTGGTTGAAATTAGCATACAGCTTCAGAAGCAGACCCTTCCTTTTGCCCTCAAAAATATCAAACAGAACAAGCAAGCATGCAAAACAAACAAAGGAAAGAGATCACAGAGCAAACAAAGCAACCAAGTAAACAAAGCGAACACAGCAAACCAAGCCAGCAAAGCGAACAGAGCAGCAAAGCGGACAAAGCAAGCAAAGTGAACCACGCAAGCAAAGCGGACAAAGCAAACAAAGTGAACCAAGAAGACAGAGCAAGCAGAGTCTCTGCAAGAGTTCGCAGGTCGAAACCTACAGAGATACCCAGAGCAGCAAGGCCACGCACAGGGTACTTACAGTCCGTCATCTTGAGGCCGCCTGGCTGATCCATTCCAAAGTAAACAAATAAAGAGGAATAAAGGACAGATACGCCAAGCACTACCATTCCTATCACCACCAGTGCAGAGAAGCCTCCAGCTCGAAGAGCAACCTATTTAAGCATAACGTCCAGGCATGTATTTACTGTGTAAGAATATTTTGAAACATAACTCTCTCTCTCTCTCTCTCTCTCTCTCTCTCTCACACACACACACACACTCTCTCTCTCTCTCTCTCTCTCTCTCTCTCTCTCTCACACACACACACACACACACAATTTCCTTCCTGGGTATGAAGAAAGGGCCCCGTTTCCACAACGGGAACAGAATGTAGCAAGAGATTTGATGAACTGGCAGGCAAAACAGCCTGCACAAAGAGTGCAAACTAACCATTAACTCAGTCACATGGGAAGTTTGTCCACAACATTGACAGATTTCATGTTCTTTCACCAACTGAAGAGCATCTTTAAGGCATGACTAAGAGCACACGAAGTTTTAGCAGCACTACAACTGTTTTCTACACCGACTCAGCCTGTCCACTATTTCTTTGCCCGCTAATGCGATGGCTAAAGTATATACGAGGAAGCACTTTTTCCAGCAGTTCTGTAAATGGTTCGTGTTGTTGTCCTGTCCTTTTTAAGCCCATGTAATAGCATCCAACAGAAATTGAACTCACAATTCCAAGATCGGCATGGACATGAATGCATCATTCAGCTGCAGTGTTTCTGGCAGTTCTACAGGCAGCTCTTGTCCTTATGAGCATTTGGTTATCACACATCCAGCAGGGTTTTAGTCCATGGTTCATTGAGCACACATCAACGACCACATCGTAGGTACCACAACACAGTATTCCGATATAGCAGACAGGAACAGCTAGCTAACAACAGGATCAGCATATCGACGAGCCAGTCGAGACTACCCAGGAATGGGAGAGACGTCTGTGAAGTAAGGCATGAACTAGGAGGAGTCTAGCCTGCCAGACACATGAGAGACAGCACATC